ATACTAACACATATATATGGACTTTAGAAAGATGGTAACGATAACCCTATATGCAAAACAGAAAAAGAGACTCAGATGTATAGAACAGACTTGTGGACTCTGGGAGAAGGCGAGGGTGGGATGTTTCAAGAGAACAGCATTGAAACATGTATATTATCTAGGGTGAAACAGATCACCAGCCCAGGTTGGGTGCATGAGACAAGTGCTCGGGCCTGGTGCACTGGGAAGTCCCAGAGGGATCGGGTGGAGAGGGAGGTGGGAGGGGGGACTGGGATGGGGAATACATGTAAATCCATGGCTAATTCATTTTAATGTATGACAAAAACTACTGTAATGATGTAAAGTAATTAGCCTCCAACTAATAAAAATATATGGAAAAAAAAAAAAAAGGAAGTGGATAGAAAGCTGAGCAGTAAGGGAAATACGGATCTCAAAGTCTATGCACTTTGCTCGAGCAGGATGAAGACCCACCCTCAGGTCCAAGCCTATGAAGAGGGAGCATTGTAATTGAACTCCATGGTTATCTGATTCTTGCTTAGTTCTCAGCATACAGCACATCAAATACAGGGAGGGGATTTGCAATGGGCAGGGCCACTCAAAGTGCATTCTTCAAGAAGTGGCACCAAATTCAGAACCTGCAGAGACAGCAAAGTTAATAGCAATAAAGCTGTTTGGAGCCATTTAATGTGCAGCCCCAAAGATGTTGTCATGTTGTAGCCTAGTCAGTGAATGCTGTCCAAGATGATGACACTGAGTCACCTGGAAAGGAAAAAAGGACACATAAAATAATGTTCAGGCAATATTCTGATTAGGATGGAATATATTGTAGGAAAATACCTACCTTAAATGGTTAAAAATGCAAAACTAGTAAGACTCCAAGCAGTACCTTTTCATTTTGCCCACGTGTGCATGCTTATACTCAGAATATGACAGTTTTCCTTCAGAACTCTTATGGCTGGATCTCCCATCTCCCTCACTTCTCAACGTCCCCTAATTATTACATAGATTTGCATACTTTGAGTGACTTTTATTCCTAGGATGCTGGCATTTTTCTCTGTGTTTTCATGTATTCATTCATAGAACACTTACAATGTCCCTGTGAGATGATTATAATATTATTATCAGCTTTGAAATAAATTAAGTATGAAGGAAATAGTAAGTATTACCTGCCCAAAGTCATACAGCTAATTAGTGGCAGAGTCAATCCGTTAAGCTACCCAAGTCTTCTAAATGACAGTCCTGTGACAGAGGAGTGCTGTCTTTGCTGGGTCTCCTTTCTCACGTATGCACTGTGCTTCAGATTAAGTTATTTTAGTCCTACTTATTGGAGAATCTCATGGACAGAGGAGCCTGGTGGGTTACCCTTTCCATAGGGTCACAAAAAATCAAACCCACTGAGCAGCCAACAGTTTTCTTGCTTTCACTGTCTTCTTTGTTTTCCTCTGGATACTCTCCTCTCTCTAAAACTGTGGGCCTCAGAAATTAGCACAATGCTCTGAATTGTTTTGTATCGAATACTTCTAGTAACAAAGACTAAGTCCAAGATGGGTTTACCTTCTGGTGGCAGCCATGTTGGATTGATAGCTCATATTAAGCTTTTACTCAACCTAGCTTGGCAAGGTATCTATGGTACCTGCCTGACTGACCTCTTTGCTTCTGCTGTTCTCCCCAGTGTCTGTCCTCTAACCAGCAGTGTGAGTGATCCTGTTAAAACATTTGCCGGATCACTTCTCTGCTGGAGGCCTTCCAATGTCTTCCCACATTTCTCAAGAGTAGAAGCCAAAGTCCTACAATTGTCTTTAAGGCCCTCCTTACAGCTTCCCATCCATCTTCACCTCCTGCCACATTCCCCATGCACTTTGGGCTCCAGCCACAAAGGCGTCTGATGTTCTTGAGACCTTTGCACTTGCAGCTGCCTCTGCCTACAACAGACTCCCCTCAGATATCCATGTGGCTTTCATCTCTTCCTTCAGATCTTTGCTCAAATGTCATCCTCTCATCCCCACCCCATCATTTACCACCCTCCTTTCCTGCTTATTATAAAGCCATGGCATTTACCACCACTATTTGTTTCTTCCTGCTACCTCACCTCATATAATATATTAGCCACAGAACTTTTCTTGTCTTATTCATTAGTGTGTATCCAGTATGTAGAATAGTGCCTTGCATATAGCATGTAGCCAATAAATAATGGTTAAATCAAGTTTCTTTTTTAAAAATTGAAGTGTAGTTGATTTACAATGTTGTGTTAGTTTCTAGTGTACAGCAAAGTGATTCTGTTTTATACACACACACACACACACACACACACATATCTGGGCTTCCCTGGTGGTTCAGATGGTAAAGAATCCACCTGCAATGTGGGAGACCTGGGCTCAATCCCCGAGTCGGGAAGATCCCCTGGAGGAGGGCATGACTACCCACTCCAGTATTCTTGCCTGGAGAATCCCCATGGACAGACCAGCCTAGTGGGCTGCAGTCCATGGGGTAGAAAAGAGTCAGACACAGCTGAGCGACCAAGCACAGCGCACACATAACACACACACACACACACACACACATATTCTTTTTCAGATTCTTTTTCATTATAGGTTATTTTAAGATATTGAATATACTTCCCTACACTATACAGTACATCCTTGTTGCTTGTCCATTTTATATATGTGACTCAAGACTTTTGTTGTCTTCAACATGAACTGTTGTTGATCAGAGGACTGCTTAATTCTGTGCTATGTGGTTCTTTTGGGGACATTTAGATCTAGTCGTAGAACTTCACATTTTGTTAAATCTCTTATTGAAATGGAAGATACAAAGGTAATGAGGCAGGCAGCTTCTGATTTGTTCCTAGTGAATCCCTAGATATATATTTGAGATTAAAGATATATATTTTCCAAGTACAAACCACATTCTAAAAAATGATATTTTATAGTTTTGTCAGGTGTCACAATCAAACTCTCCCTCTATCCTTTTGAAAAGTAGAGCAAGTTTTCTCAATGCCCATTCTACTTTTTTTCTAGTTCTTCATTCTTTAACAAAGAATCTGTTCGTCTGGCAAGTTGTTTTTCTGGGTCCCATCCTCTGGGTCTTTAGTGGATTCTTTCCATTCTCAGAATGGGCTGAGAGAACACTTCTGGGGAGCTAGCAAAACATGAGTATCTTCTCAGTAGGGAGTCAACAAAAATTTCAATAATCAGTCACTACTTACAGTTGGCCATAGCGAGCTAGTTTTCCTACAGAATTATTGTGACAAAATTCTCCCATTTCCCTCACTCCTCAAAATTTCTTGGCTACCAGAATTTTCCTGCCTCAGTGTTATCTTAGGCTCCTTGTTCATCTATTTTTAGCTTTCTGATTTCATATCCTGCTTTCTCTATTTCAATTCGATTGCATTCACCTGACTTTCTACCTCAATGTGTTGAAGTTGGACTACTCCCTTTTTTTTTTCTGAATCTAAGAGCTTCATTCAGGAAGCAACCTGAGTCGACTTGTATTTCAGCTTTTATTAAAGTGACATCCCGCCTCTTTGTTCAGAGCCTCACACACTGCCCCCTTTTCTCTTGACCGGTTTTTCTCCTAATGCTGTGAGAAGCGAGTGGATATCAGCTTCCTTGAATGTGGGAGGAGTTTGACTGAAACTGCACTGATCCCTGCCAGCTCACTTTGTTTTAGCCTCTTGATCATAATTGCTTAAATGTGTCAATTACTTTATGTCTTAGAAAGATGATGCCTTTTGATTCATACCAAGGGCAGTAAGAATCTACCTCTTTTTGATGTGGCCAAACCAGATCCATCATCGTCCTTGAAGGCCCACATCCCTGTGCTGCTCTCAAGCTGTACCTACATCATTGCTGTTAGACTATTGACAGCAACTTAAAGGCCTATACTGTACACTCAAATGGCATTCTTTCGTATCCTGGCTCTGCCACTTTCTGTGTGAGTGAGGTTTGGCCATTTATTTAAGTTCTCTGAGCCTCAGTTTCATAATCTGTATAATGGCAATAAAAATGTTTGCCTCTAGGTTTGCTTCAATGAGATATTATAATGCAAAGCACTTTAAACAATTACTTATTATTTTTTGCTCTTCAACAATAATATGTACAATGTTAGAATAAGGGGAAGTAGTGGAAAGTTTGTTTTAAAGGCCTAGTTACTGCCATTTCACCTGGACCTGGAAGACTTGTTTTTCTGGGTGAAGAAATGTTTTCCCTGTGTGAAGGTTTCATAATCACAGCCAAGCAGACCCACGAGCCCTGCCATTTAAAGCAGCTCATCTCTTTTTATCTGTAACACTTATATCTATAGCCTGGGAATGAGGATACTGGTCCAACTCCTGATATTCTACAGGGTAACCACTGAAATCTCTCTGAATTCGATGCCATGATCCATGGCTATGGACGACCAGGACTGACCTGGACACTCTCTGAATTTCATACCATGTGGTGGCATTCTGATTTCCTTGTGAGCTTGACCGAGTTTTGAACAGGTAAGTGAATGGGATGGAAGCACACAGTGATCATCTGAGAGAGAAAAAAGGACCCTTTTAAAGTTTTTCTAAGTTAAATCAGGAGACTAAACTTGTGGAGTGAAGGGTAGTTTTATAATTTAAAAAAAAATGGCCATGAAAATGAAAATTTACCAGAAAAAAAAATGAATTCTATAAAGACAAGGGCAAAGTTGTATACTTAGGAAAGGAAACTATTATCCAAGTGGAGAGTTTTTGAGAATATGAGCTTAAAATAAAAAGGAAGGAGAGATAAGTGATTATTAATAGACTTGTCTGTAAAACATGTAAGTCCCCAAGATTCCTAATACAGAGTTCTTTGGTCACTGTAAAATCCTAATATCTTCAGTGTATCTTTAACAGATTTTAAGGAACATATTAACCAAATGTACAAGTTTTGATTTGGCCATAAAAATGCAAGAAGAGCTGTGATTCTCTAGGATTAATGAATAACATTTGTTTATTTGATTTGCTCTAAGAAATCATTCTAAAATCTGTTTACATATCTGGCCTCTCCAGGATGAATTTTATGTTGGTTCAGCAGATTGTTTACAGTTTTTTCTTCTTCTTCCTTTTTTTTTTTTCATCTTCCCTGCTCAGTGCCCAACCCAAGGTCAAAGGCTGATAGAGAGAAAATCTCATGAGGAGGTTTTACTCTAGGGAAGTTGTTCAGTGGATGGGATCTTGGCGTACAGAGAAAGATGACAGGCTCTTTCTGGCTCCTTCTCAGCCTTGTTGCTGTAACTGCTGCTCAATCCACCACTGAAGAACAGGCCAAGACATTTTTGGAGAAGTTTAACCATGAAGCCGAAGACCTGTCTTATCAAAGTTCACTTGCTTCTTGGAATTATAACACCAATATTACCGATGAGAATGTCCAAAAGATGGTGAGTTCTCATGGCTACAGAGGGGTATTGGTTGCTTCTTAAAAATCAGCTTACTGCCCAGGAAACTGAAAAGGGAAATCAAACAAATGCTCTGAGCTGTGAGATTGGATGTTTGCCTCAGTATTTCTGATTCTGGAGTCCCAGATGACTGAAAAATTGACCTTTGAGTTTATTTGAAAAAATGTTACAAAATAATTCACTGGTCTCAGTCCAGATTCTTGGAAACCAGTGAACACGCTTTAGAAATTTGCCACCATAATTCTTATCATAGTCAGGCTTTCAAAGCATGTCACAGAAATGCCATAATTTATTCAGTTAATAATTTCCTCAAGCCTACAATGTCAACAGGAATATCTAAAGACGCTCTACAAATCATCTATTAACTGAAAAAATATGCAGCTGGAGGCTTAGTGAAAGAGCTCGCTAGTAATTAAGGTTACCAGGGGTCGGATGAGGCTGGACTTGGGAATTCCTTCCTTAATTGTCACGGAGTTCTAAGGGACTTCCAGAGCATACGGGATGCACAGAGCCCTCCAAGAAAACCCGTAATCAAACCAGTTCTGACAAATCTCAGAATGCAAGATGTATTATTTGACAAGTCCAAGGATTTAGAAAGTTTCTTCCCTCACATATCTCAAAGCAATGCTGGAAATGGAGTGACATTATTTAAGCAAAGTTTTTGTGACACTTGTCCAGCAATGCATTCGTTCAAAAATGTAGTTCAAATCTTATTTTTTCACCTAGTGAGTTACAGGTTTAAGTTAAATTATTGCCACTCACTGGACAGATTCTATATTCTGGACAGATTCAGTCTGAGATCTGCTGCTTCATGTGAATTCCTCAGGAGATTCCCCCCCACCACCCCAGTTTTTCTAAAGCTTTAAGAAATCTAGGAGATTTTGACAGCCCAGTGTTGTCATAGGAGACCATTTTTTTTTTCTTGTCTCATATTTTGTTCTTACCTTTCTTCATCTCTTCATGGTTGCTTTTTTTCATGTTTTATTTGATCTTGATGTGCACTGTGCATTTGTTTTCATTCTCAGTCAAATGGTCCGTAGGCGGTGTTGAAGGTAGACCAGTGTTATGCCTAAGAGCTCTGGAGTCAAACTGCCGAGGTCCAAGTCCTGGCTCCACCGCTTTATATCTGGGTGAACTTGAGCTACTTAATGAACCTTTCTGCACCTTAGTTTTTCTGCCTGTGAAAAGCCACCTAATACTCATATTTGCTTCATAGGGTTGCTGTGACAACAGTTAATACACAAAACCACCAGAATTGTGCTCAATGCTTCTGAGCCTGGGAGAACAATACAGTACCATTGCTGTGAATGTGAGAAGTAATTCTAATTGCTGAAAAAATGTGTAACGGTTCTGTTCAGTGCCCAGATACTGAGAAGGCATTTTACAGAAGGAGATGTAGTGATGTTTGTTGAAATCATCTCTGGATCATTAAGTGCTATCACTTTTGAGTTGTACTGGTTGATTAGAGGAAAGGCAGAAATGAAAGGGCATTAAGTCCATGAAGGGTAGTCAAAGTGCAGACAGTATGGGCCCTTTAAAGAAAAGTGAAAATATGCAAATACAAGAAGCATCTCCTTCCTCCAGCAGTGGTGAAGGGTGAGTTAGCGCATTAGTGCATCTGCATGGATTTACCTGGGGAGGAGGCAATAGACAGGGAGGACAATGGCTCATCTGGTCTCTTATCACATTTATTGAGATCCCCTAATGAAACGGAACTGCAGCTGGTGCTACAAGAGGTACTTAGATGAATAGGAAGCTGAGATAATGGTCCACTGCTGATGGCCATGCTTATAGAAAGAATTGGAGAAATGGAGAATGTTTTCCAAGGAAAGAGCCACTGGAATGATTTATGGGGATGAGAGAGAGTTAGAAGGGAAAACAGAATTAGCTCTACAAAGCCTAACTCAAAAAGAAAAATAAACATGAGTCTGAGATGGAAGAAGAAAAGATAGAATGTTCTCAGTTGTATTGGCCAACTCTCTTCAGATTAGAAAGGTGGTGCCTTTGAAAGCTCAAAAGAGATAAATTTACAATAAATAGGAGGAGGTGCTGTTTCTGTTACAGGTAGTAAAACTGGTAAGACTTGTAAATCTAGACCATTCTTTAATCTGAAAAAGTGAGACATTGAAAACTATAAATAGGTTTTGGAAATATTTAAGCGAATGTAAGGATTGTAGATCCACTGTGGGTGAGGCATGCATTTATGAACCCAGTTCTTTACCTTCCTCAATATCAATGCCCAAGGTTATGTCACTTTACAGTGCCAGCTCACTGAAGGTGATGTGACCGTGTGTCCTTTGCCATGTGACTTACTTTGACCCATGGGCTGTTAGCAGATGTCTTACAAGTAGAGGCGTGGAAGGACTTGAACAATGGGACTTTTCCTTTGCACCCTTGCCTTTGCCATGAGGACATGCCTGGATTGACCAGGTAGAGTGAGAGATGTGTGGAATAGTTGTCTTGGCAGGAACTAATCCCCCAGAGTTTTAAGAAGATCCAGCCAAGATTAGCAGAGTTGCCTGGCAATAACACTCAGTGATTCTAGGCACACAAACAATGAACACTTATGCTGTTGAGATTTGGGGTTGTCTGTTATGTAGTACTACTGTAGCAATAGATAACTAATATAGGAAGAGAAATTTGGGCTGTATGACATGTGTATGTTCATATCCTATCCTGGTCACATTATTGAGGGCAATCTGTCATTTCATAATTATCCCTTGATATAACATTCAGAGTCAGAATATTGGGCTTATCAGCCAGTCGACCTAGTGTGACAATTCTTAGATCAAGTCATGAGAATATAGTTTAAAAGAGGGCACTAGAATTTGATCAGTATAGTGTCCCCAAAGCTCCCTGTTTAGGAGAGGTCCATCAGATAGATATAAGGAAAAATCTTTGTTCAAAACAGATTTCCACATAGTTCAGAAATTCAGTGAAAATTAATTACCAGACACTTGCTTTAGAATAGAGTTCTCATGTTTGAGATCAAACATTTACCAATTAAACTGTAATTCTCTTCTCAGTAAGATGACATTACTTTTTTGCATTTATTGTTGGTTTGATTTTTGAAAGAGTCCTTTGTAAGTCAGAGGATTTTTGTGTGTGTGTGTGTGTGTGTGTTTTTTTTTTTTTGCAAAGTCAGAAGCTCTTTGGCAACCTGGGAGGTCCCTGGACAATTTTTGTCCCTGTAAGAGAGTGAAAGGACCCTGCCACTGGCAGGGGCATCGTGGTTCTCTGTTCCAGTGTTTGGCAGTAGCTACTACAGCTGCCCCAACTCCTGTGGACACAACTGTGAAGGGAGTGTTGAAGACGGCCCTGTTGGAGCCCCAGAGGTCTCAGAACACTTCATAAATATTTCTTGTTGAGTTATCAGAAGCTGTGAAGAGACAGCAGAAGGCCCACACTTACCCTTTGGGTGGTCAGGCCCCTAGAGTCCTTGGGCACACCTGCTTCCTGGACCTTTTCCTCTGTCTTTAGGGTGGGGGCACAGTGAACCCAGAGCAGGGTCATTTTAAACTGCTTTTCTGTCCCCAAGGAGAGAATGTAGACTTCAACCCTGTCTGCAATGAGTCTGTCTCACACTCCCCAGGATATGTAAGTACCTACACATAGGTACGGGGATGGGGAAAGGTCAGTGTGATGCAGATACGATGGAATTCAGGAAATCTGATGCTGTCCTGATTCTGCTAAGCTGGCTGTGATACCTTGGGCAAGTCACTTACTTTTTATCTCATAAATGTAAGATAGTAGATGGGCCCAGTCAAGATTTTTCAGTGGATAACAGTGGTGAGTGGATGAGCTCCACATGTGGAGGATTAACAGGAGTCAAGTGCATTGGAAGTATTGTTCATACTAGTTTTCCTTTGTCATGAAAACTTGATAATGTCCCGGTTGAGTGATGTAATTTGGTAAAATTGAACTTGAGCAATTCAAAATGACATGTTTCATGCCATCCAGATTTGACACACTCATTGATCTAAGCACTCTGGCAGGACACCAGGCGGCCACCAGCTACACCCAGAGAGGGCAGCCTAGTGGTCAGGAACTATTGCTGCTTCTCAGTATGTGCCAGGTAACTGGGCAAAAGAGAAAACATTTAATTTTGGCTAAATCCTTTGGTTTGGAGTAGTTCCATGAGGGTTTCAGATCTAGTTATAGGACCTAGAGAATAAGGTGGGTTTTCTTTTTCTTTACTTTTACTATTGAGTGCTTTTAACAACAGCTTTATTGAGATATAATTGTGTGCTAAGTCGCTTCAGTCATGTCCAACTCTTTCTGACTCCATGGACTGTAGCCCACCAGGCTTCTCTGTCCGTGGGATTTCCCAGGCAAGAATACTAGAATGAGTTGCCATTCCCTTCTCCAGGGGATCTTCCTGACCCAGGGATCGAACCTGTGTCTCTTAAATCTCCTGCATTGGCATTGGCAGGCAGGTTCTTTACCACTAGCACCACCTGTGTTGTGTACCATAAAATTCACCAATTTAAAGTATACAATTCAATGTTTTTTAGTATATTTACAGAATTATGCAACTATCATCACTATCTCATCTTAGAACATTTTCATCACTCCAAAAAGAAAGCACATGCATATTAGCAATCACTCTTCCTCCCCTAAACCCCCAGCTTTCAGCAACCACTAATCTACTTTCTGTCTATAGATTTGCCTATTCTGGATATTTCATATAAATGGAATTATACACTAGGTGGTCTTTTGTGATTGGCTTCTTTCAGTTTGCATGCCGTAGCATGTATCATTATGTTGTCCCATTTTACTGCCAAATAGTATTCCATTATATGGATTTTATTTTACTTTTTATTGTAAAAATTTTCAAACACATATACAAGAAGAGAGACTAATATGTTGAATCTCCTTATACCCATCACCCAGCTTCAGCAAATTATCAGCACTTTGGCCAATCTTGTTTTATTTTTCTACTAGTGCCATGTTTATTGGATTATTTTGAAGGAATAACTATA